GACGGCCGGCCGGCGCCTGGGACCCGCAGGGACTCTGGGGCCGGGACAGCATGTGACACTGCCCAGGTGGGTCCCCTCCTCCCGCGCAGCTCCTGGCTCCGGGCGGGCGGCTGTAGAGCCCCGGCGGAGGTAAGGGAGGGACGCAAGGGACGGGAAACTAGGCCTTCACCCCGGGGCCAGCCCCAGCTGGGTCCCAGGGCGCAGGCTCCGGAAATGGGGGGCTGGGCAGATGGGCAGAGTTGGGGCGTGTGACTGAGTATCCTGGTCTGGAAGGGGAGGGGAGCTGGAGGAAATGCTCTGGCCTGAAAAATTCGCTTCCGGCCTGGTCCCCGCCTTGGAACTGGGCACCCTGCCCCGAGATGTTCCCCAGGCCACTAATAGGGCTCTTCCAAGTCTGGGACGTGGGGAAAGCTGACCCCATAAGGCATAACTGGGGCTCCGTTTGTGGACTATTTCCCACCTGTAGATATTTCATTGTCTCCTGTTTTCTGAACTAGGCCTGGGCCTGCCTTCACTCACCTTCCTGTGGATTCGCACAGTGCACTGTGTGTGTCTTAGTACTTACCTGTCCCCTGCTGGCCAAGGTGCTTTCACCTTGAAAACGACTCCTGCCCTGGCCCCTTCCCTTTCTCACATCTGGGAAGTACCTCCAAACTTTCCTGTCAATCTCAATATTGCAATCTGAACTCGGGGAGGTGGGCAGGGAGCTGTTTAGAGGTGGGGGTGGGGGTGGGGTGAGGCTGTAGTTCTGAGCATCATTTAAAATTGCCTTTTAGCCAGACTGTCCTCACAGAGCTTGTCCTGATGCCACTTGATTTTCAGATCTCAGTCCCTCCTCTTCCTGGATCTTGGATTCCCAAGACAGATCTGCCCTCCTGTCTACCGCAGTGAACTCTGGCCAGGCTCTTGTCAGATTGAGGGACACGGGTGTGTCAAGCAGACAAGGGAGAGAGCAGAGAGAGGCTTTCTTTTCTAGCTTCTTTCCTCTGTGCTCCCTCCAGGGCATTCTGAGGCCCTGCATCCTTGGCCTACTCCAGAAATCCCAGCTCCTAGCTAACAGCTCCCAGTGTGGCCTTTCTCAGACTTCCTGTTTTAGCTACACTGGGGTGTGCAGAAGCTACTGGCCTAGGTCCTAGCAAAAGGGGGTTGTTTGTTGGCCAGTCTTTGGGCCTGAATCGGAAGCCATGTCTATGGAAGGGGTTCCTGGGGGGTGGGGCTGGGAGGAGGAAGGACATGGGTGTCAATTTTGAGTGAGACTGTCTCCGGGAGGAATGTGGGTCATTATCCTGGTAGGGGAGAGAGAGGTCAGGAGGCATGCAAGGGAATCCCTCTTATCAAACAAATACAGTGACTCAAAACATAGTCAAGAATCTTCATGTATCTTAGTCAAGGGGTCCCCAGAGTGTGTGGCTGCCCACAGTATGGTCTCTCTGAGGTTGTCTGTGGCCACATCAAGCATGGTGTCTGTGGGGCAATCGAGAAGATGTCATCTGTGGTGTCTGGAGTGGTCAGTCAGTGTGGTGTGGTCAAGAATGGGTCACAGGGCTGTGGGTTGAATAAGAGCAGTGTTACTCAGGTGTCAGTGGTGTAGACCGAACAGGTGGCTCACAGCACCCGTTGGCTCACAGCTCCCGGTGCCTGTGGAGTGAACAGGAGCTGGTCATTTACAGTGTCTGCAAGGTGGGCCAGAACAAGGGCACCCTCAGGAGCTATGCTGAGGACACAAAGAGGTCACTCACACATGATCTGTGTGGATAGCAGAGGGCCACTGTGGGCCCATGGGGCATGTCAGCATTGCCACCAGTGATGTTCTTGTGAGCCCATCCAATCTGCAAGACAGTGGATGCTGAGGTATTTCAGACATTAGGCATAGATGAGAGATGTTCACTATGGTTTTCGCTGAGATGCTGGGGCTTCCTAAAGTGGTCAGAACACATGTCTGTGCAGTTAGTGGTCCAGGTCGCTACTCTTATTTTCATATCATTGTAGCATTGGGGCAGTCATGTCAGACACTGAGTAAAGGCATCCCTCTATGTGGGAGTTTCATTTTCTACATCAAAATGAGGACATATCTTCCAATTTGGGGCTATTTTCCTAATATAATAGTACAGACGACATAGTATAAATGCAGAAGCGTTGTAATTTGAGTATTTTAGTGATTTGTAGTGTGGGTCAGCGTATTTGAGACTGGTACTTGGAGTCACACAGAGCAGGCAGCGTGGGTTGGAAGGAGCAGTATGGTGGAGGTGGGGGGGGCTGTCTTTGAAATACAGTGTTATTTCTGCAGACTATAAACGGACAAGAGCCAAGGTGTTAGGGGGCTCTGGGGAGATACTGAGCTCTGTCATACATTGTGTTACAGGGTGACTTGCAGCTTTGTCTTGAAAGAAGTTCCATGTGGGACAGGGACAGCAAATGCACCATGTGTCTGGTCCAGGTGATGCCCTGCTCTGCCTTGGCCTGTGCTCAGTGAGATTCACCCCTGTGGAGAGGGGGTCAGGAGGCAGCTCCAACTCAGTGGGCAATGCAAAAACTCTCTCCTGATGTCTTTCTGTGAGTTAAACCATGCTTTGCAGATTTCCCTGAGCTTCGTTGTGTTCTAGGTTTGTGGTGCCTGATTGTAATAAAAGGACAGAATCAAGTATAGGGAATGGTGGCTGAGGCGGTGACCGCCAATTTTTCAGGTGGGTAAAGACTGTGTTAGAAATAGTGCCAGTGGCGCTGCAGGGGAGCAACGTGCATTGTGTCAGTAGAATGGAACTGAAGATGCCCAGGTAGCCCATGGTGCAGACAGACACAGCCTAAATACAGCAGATACAGCCTAAACACATGTACACCTTTGGAGACTGCTTGTTCTGAGGACGTGGTGGGTATGTGGGTACAAGGCCAGCACAATACAGATGTGGGGAAGAGGGCTACAGGTTTAGCTACACCGTCCCCTTGGGCAGGTGGGAGACAAGATTCACAAAGTGCTTACGCTGAGCAAGTACATTAAGTATATTGTTTAATGTGTGATTGAGAGAATGGGGTCACGTCACAGTATCACCCATAGTGATTATAGTATTTTGTCCTTAGGACTGGACATAGGGAGCAGATCTTGCTCTGTGTCAGTTAACTGGAAAAGGTTATAAAGGTCCTCTGCACAGGTGTGCTTATGTTAGACATGGTGGCTCTTTGCCCCGTATAGGTGGTATCTGTGTCTATGGGGTGGCCAGGAACTTGTCACACGCTTATCACATCTGCAGGGTGTCTAGGGACCTGCTTGTTTGGTTATGTCAGTCTGTATTGTGTGGAAACTGCAAGGGTGGCTCATTATGTGTGTGTGCACCCATGTGCGTGCACGTGCCTGTGGGTGCATGCCTGTGCCAGCATATGCCATATCTCAGGACTGCAGGCATTTGGGGGGGGTGGGGTGGGCTTCCACTTTAAGTCTGGACCAGACAAGAAGGGTGCAGGGCCAGGTGCAGCGGTGGATTCCATAGGCCCCAGAGGTCTTCTCCAGGCTGGTGACCTTCCAGCCTTCTTACACCTGGGCTTCCGGTTGCTTATAGTTGACTTGCCGGAAGACCTTGGTTTGAGTTCATCTCTACCAGTTGCTTAGGGAACCTGAGCAAGCATCTAGATGATCTGACCTTCAGTTTCCTCATCTGTAACTTAAGCAAAGTTTTCTGTCTGTCCCTAGAGGTCCTTCCAGCTCATAAGTCCTGTGCTTCTCTCTTACACTCTCTTTCTCTCAACAATAGTTCCAATCCCTAACATTTCTGTGACCCTTTGATTTAACAATGCACTTGTTACGCTATCTTACTTAATTTTCATTAGAATTCTTTGCAAAGGAAGCATTTTATCCCCTTTATAAAGATAAGAAAATGGATGTTCAAATAAATTGATTTCCACAATTGTTTTTAAACCTGCAAGATACAAAACAGGCAGAACTAGAAACTGAACAACACTCTTTTAACTGCCTCCTTCCTTCCTTCATTCGCACAATATGTTGTCGTTGAGTGCCCACTAAGCTTCAGGTAGAGGGGACTGGACAGCTAATGTTGCGTTTTTTGCATCCTCATGAGAATAGATGTTCAGTATGTAACCAAAAGTGCAGCAAGTGTGAGCCAGTAGAGGCTTCTCTGGTGCGGGAGATGCTGATTCCAGGCCCAGGAGCAGCAGCCTGAAGGTGCTCAGGAGAGAGGGAGGTGAGCTGAAGGGACTGAGAGCAAGGCGTGGGGGGTGCTGACAGGTGATGAGGCTGTTGGAGAGGCAGGGGGACGCCAGGTTGAGGAGGACACCTAACCTATGCTGGATTATTTGGGTTTCATCCCAATGGCAGTTAGAGGCTACTGAAGATTTTAAATTGGAAGTGAGGCTTTTAAGACTCATTCAAGTGCAAGGTAGAGAATGCCTTGGAAAAGGGGTAGGAGAAGCTGTGTGGAGGTCAGTGGCCAGGCCGTGCCCAGGTGCAGTGGCCGGCCTGAGGACAGCAGCTGGCACCAGATCTAGCAGTGGATTTAGAGAAAAGTGGACAGACTTGAGGGATATTGAGGAGGTGGGGTCAGTAGGACTTGGTGACTAGATTAGATATGAGGAATGTGGGCCCAAAGAGAAGCAAGAATTTCATTCTGTAATTTAAAAATATTGAGCACTTAGTATGGGCCAGGTGTTGAGCTACGTATAGACACGTGAGCAGGACAGATGTAATTCTTGATCTTGTGAAGTTTACCACCTAAGATAGATGAGATAGATGATACATCGGAATACATGCTTAATTATATAATTATAGTTGTGTAAATGCTACAAAGGGGAAGGAAAGCGGACTATTGTTTGTAAGTACTGCAAAGAGGAGTACAGTAGGGCAGTTAGAGGATGGGGGAGCATAGGGGTTAAACCGGTAAGTCTCACATAACGAGAAAGGGAGCATTTCTAGTGTCAGATACGGACAGGGACCTCCAAGACAAGCATCCGTAGAGTCTCCTAACAACTTGATGAGTGTAGGGGAGGCAGGCAAGGTGGGAGGCTGTAAAGGCAGCAGGTGTGAGCAGCCCCTTCTACAGGTTAGAAAAACACGAAAGGCACAAACCTGCTCCAATGCAGGCGGGATGGTCATAGCAGAGGTGCCAATGAGAGCATAGTTCCCGAAGGATGGCTGGAGGAGGAGGTGCTTAGAGGGGGGACACCTGCACCGATGGAAGAGGAAAGATGGGGAGCGAATGCAGGTTGCTCCGAGTTGTAAGAAACTGAAGCAACTCCTCTCCGGTTTCTCAGTATTTTGCAAAATTTTTGCTGGAAGTGAGAGCAGGGCTGGGAAGGTCAAGGTTTTGAGGAGTTACGAGAAGAGTTCACAGGCTGTTGGGGAGAGAGAGAGCAGGGTAATGAGGGTGACACCGTTTTATGGTCCTGCTTGAGGCAGGTGGCCGCTGTGTCCTGCGGTTCTAATCTCACAAGTCCTCCTGCTTCACGGCAGCTGCCTCTCTAGTTGGAGACAAAGTTTTAATTAGTTACCGGGCTGTGCAAGACTGTAAAAAGGACAAGCACAGTCCAGGCCCCGTGTAAAGCTGGTGACACTGCACTTTGCCTCAGTTCTGGCTGTAATGACCAGATCTGTGTTGATCCCCCATTAGCAGACGAAGACAGATATCCCCGCAGACACCGCTTCTTGGGGCTGTTGGGCCTTGGGCGTGTCACTCACTTTCCGTGTCTGGGAGTTACATAGGGCTGAGTCACTCCTGGTGTCCAGAGAGTAGACGGGGAGAGACAATGTGACATAATACCAGCTCGAGTAATGACCACTGGAGCTCTTGGTGCCGAGGCTCTAATTCAGTCCCTGTCTACCTGCCTCTCCCACGAGACTACAGGCTCTACATGGACAGCATCTCCTTCACTACTGAAGGCCCCCCCGCCTGAAAGGGTCACTTGCTAAGTATTTATTAAATGAACAAATGAGCGACAAATTTATAGAAGCTATAGCTTATCTTGTTGAGTACCTTTTGTCTCAAAGAATGACTGTGTGGAACCAAAGAAATGTCCCCTCTTGTTCCTGAGAGGTAAAAGCAGACAAGGTGATAGAAACTGTTTTTTACCCTCTTTAGGATTCAGCCCCGATGGAGGCTGAGGAGCCCCGACATGGAGCACTGGCTCCCACCTCTGCCGTAGCCGAATTCAGTGTTATCCCTGAAGCTCTCATGAGGATAAGCCAGAGCCCTGCCCTGGGGCCAGAAGCTCAGGAAGGCCAGGAGCCATCCTGTGAGTGGGCAGAGGAATGCAGACTCTTGGAGATGCAGCAGAGGGATGTAAGAGATGCCAGTGACTGTGCACCTGAGGCTCTGACCTCTTTCCCCAAGGCCGCCCCTGCGGATGTGGAGACTGACCAGGAGAACCTTATGATTGAGGCCTGGGCCACTCCAGAGTGCCAGGAGGCAGTGCCCCGGAGCTTGGCAGACAGACGGGCAAGGACACCAGCTCCCCCAGAGCCCTGGGCCGGCCCTGGCTCGGCCGAACATCAGGACACAGTCCCTGTGTCCAGCGAACTGAGTAGCCAATTGGAGGTGGCATTTAGACAAGCAGAAGAGAAAGAGGAAACATCTCCAGATGCCTCTGCTCAGGCCAGATGTTTGTCTTCCTGTGAGGAGCACCCTGCAGGGACCACCCCGCTGCAGGACTCTGAAAGTGGGCCCATCAGGCAGGGGCACGAGCTGCAGGAAAGTCAATGGGAAGAAGGGCTTGTGTATCTCCAGGAGGCTGAGGGGCTGGAGGAGCAGGGACAGGAGGAGGGCAGAGCCCTGGGAGGGGCTGTGTGTTCTAACAGGCTTCTAGGGGAGCAGGAACAGGATGGGGAGCAGGTTGATGGTACACAAAGGCAAAGGCAGGAGCAGATGCAAGATGAGAGGGTACTTGTGAAACTAGGAGAGAGGGAGGGGCTTGGTGGGGGACTGGGAGGTGTGGATGGTGATGAGTGGGAGGGACAGGCTCCAGGCCAGGAAGACCGGGAAGTGGGCGACCAGATGAAGAGGGTGTCGAGGGGGCCTGACGAGAGTGGGGTGGGTGCTCAGTGCCAGGAGAATCAAAGCTTAGTGGGGAGATCAGTGAGTGTACCCGGAAGGCAGGAACATCAGGGTCTGCCAGGGAAACTGAGGCTGGAGGAAGAGGAGGAGGCGGAAGATTGGGATGGGGAGGGGTTGGGGGGAGTGGGAGGAGAGAGCAGTGCAGAGGAGGAGGAAGAGGCTGAGGGTCCTCCCACACCTGCTCTGGTGCCCCCCGAGGTCGCCTCTCCCTGGGACTTGTTTCCCATCTCCTGTGATGCCCTAGCCAGGCTTCCTGGGACTCAAGCCGAGCTTAGGGCTGAGGAGCTGTCTCCCGGAGCTCTGACGCCTCCCCCGGAGCCAGTGTGGTGTTCCCACCAGCCCAGTCCTTTACCTGGCTCCTTTTCCCCTGGGGGCTCCCCTGACCCAGAAACAGCTCAGGACCTCCAGCCAGAGGGATCCGAGCTGAGGATGGGGGCAGCACCCAGCGGGGTCATTGAGGTGGCCTCTGCCGGTGCACCTGAGACTTCTCCAAGGACACCAGATTCAGCTCCTTCCTCTTCTGCTGACGTCTCCCCCAGTGCAGCCACCTCAGCGGCTGCCAGCTCCCCGATTGCCATCCCCAGGACCAAGGCCTCCTTCGCTGCATATTCTCCGGAAACCACCGGAGCTGCTTTCTCAGCCGACACCCCGTCTCCCTGCGGGGCCTCTGAGACTCTCCCTGCAGCCCTCCACGGCTTCTCCTCCGTGGAGGCCACCATGGACTCGCGTGGCAGCTCCACCTGGGCCCCCCCTCAGAGCCCCCTCACCACGCCCGCAGGGGTCGTCCAGCACCTGCGCAGCAACTCCTTCCCCGGCTTGCACAGGACGCAGCTGGCTCCAGACCTGGACCTGGTGGAACGCTCGCTTTCCTTCTCTCATTCAGACTTGCCCCAGAGGCCCCCCAAACCTGCCATCTATGGCTCTGTGGCCCCAAGAAGGGACAGGAAGAGCAGCAGGGACTGCAGCGTTATTCTCGAATCCCCCATTTCACCACCCACTCCTGGGCAGGACTCTCGAGACTTCGCCTCTGATCCGCACGGGCCCAGCAGTACCCCTAGCAGCCAGCCGTGGGGCTCCCCACATCATCCAGCCTTTGCCCCAGGGTCTCCTGCCTACGGCTCTTCACCGCCCCCTGTCTTTGTAGACATGAGGCTGCATGAACCCCCACCCCCTGCTCCCCCGGAGAAGAGGCGCGCCCACCTCTCCATGGTGGAGAGAGACAGCCACCCTAGTGCGGTGGTCCCCACCCTAAGGCACTGTAGCTATCCTCCCCTAAATTTAGAGCTATATGGCCCCCCCAGGGGCCCACTTCCTGAAGTTCCTGACCCCCCTGTGGCAAGGCAGTACCGACCTCTGCCCTCTACCCCGGACGATCCCCACCATCCTCAGACCTCTTCCTCCCCCAGGCTGCGATACAACAAGCCATTACCCCCTACCCCTGATGTGTTCCAGCCCCACCATTCTCCTGTTTCTCATATTAGCCCGAGGAGCTACAGGCCTCTACCCCCTGTCCCTATCATAGATCCCCACCCCGAACCACCCCCGTTACCCCCAAAGGCCAGGGGGAGGAACAGGAGCACTCAGGGAGCACTCATAAATTCAGGGGGTCAAGCCAAGCCAAGGCCTATTGGTCCAGAGTGGGTGGTCCCCAGTCCCCACACTGCCGGACGTACCTCCTGGCCCCCAGCCATGGGCCGACCATCAGACTCTTTGGCGTCCACCAGTTGGAGTAAGAGTGAAGTGTCCCCTGGCATAGCTTTCAGCAACCTGACTAGCCTTCCTAGTCCCTCTTCCCCAACCACCCCCTGGACTCCAGGGCTCCAGGGGCCCACCTCTGAGCCGGGGCTCTCAGAAGAGTCGGAGGCCCTGGCCAGGGGATCTCTGAGAAGAACAGTCCCCCAGGAAGGAGCCAATGGCCTGAGGAGGTTGGATCTAGGGCGAGCAAGGCAGCCTGAAAAACCCAGCCATCCCCACCTGGAGAAGGCGTCCAGCTGGCCCCACCGGCGGGACCCGGGGAGGCCGCCGCAGGGCAGCGGTGCACAGGCGGCCGCCCCTGGCGAGGGCTCCAGCAAGCACAAGGGCTGGCATCGGCAAGGCCTGCGCAGACCTTCCATCCTTCCCGAGGGCCCTTCAGGTGAGCCAGGGGTGCTCATCGGACCGAGCTTTCCGCAGCTTTACCGCCTCATCCACCTGCTGTCCCCAGGGCTCCTCCTGTTCCCCCGCTGGCGCCACTCACCAGTGTCCAGCCCCAGCACAGAGGGAAACCCTTGGAAGCCTCTCAGCTCACCGCGATGCTATTCCTTCTTCCGTCCATCTCCCACTGTCACCCAACCATGCTGTTCTTTTATTGTGTATCTTTTCCCCAAGGTTGTTCTGGACACCCTCCCCCCACCCCCAAACACACCCCACTTTCCAGTTACCAACACCTGTCTGATGTCCCCATGGTAGAGAAGACGTGACGTCCTCTACTTGTCCAGTTTACATTCCGGCACGAGGATGTGTTTGTACCTGGCAGGAGTGTCCGCAGGTGCTTCCTGCTTTGGCCCTTCCCCCCTCACACTTTCCCAGCTGCCTGCATCGCACACTCTAGGTCTTACCTTCTTCGGCTATCTCTGAATGTCCCTCTGACCCCTCAGTTACTTCACCCATTTCCCTTTGCAGATGCAAGAGGTCCAGCCACTGAAAAGTCCCCTGGCCTTTCAGACACCATTGTTTTTCGGTGAGTCACCCTCTCTCCCAACAGGCACACTGTACTCTTTTTTTCTTAGGATACTGAGATTTCTATTAGCTGACACAGGTTCTGGGGCCCTATCTCTTCCAGGTGGAAGGAGGGAAAGGGACAGACACCAGGATTCCAGGGGGAGCCCTTTGATCAGCCTGGTCTTGTTATCTGAGTCCTAGTTTTCCAACCCCCCAGGCCCATTGGCCATGACCCAAACCCCCTGTAAAAGTTCCATGTGACATCCAAAGAAGCTCCAAACTACCCCAAGTGGGTCAGGCGACAACATTCTTCTCCAGGGGCCTTGGCCTGAACATCCCAGGGCACGTCCCAGAGGTTAGAGATTAGCCCGTCCACAGTTGCCTGGGGCTCCTCAGAACCTAGTGGCCAGCAGGCACCCCAAGCTCTTCTTTGCTCCACAGGGAGAAAAAGCCAAAGGAGGCAATGGGAGGCTTCTCAAGACGCTGCTCAAAGCTCATCAACTCCTGTGAGTATCTCGAAACAGAATGTAGCTGCACACAGGTGCTCTACCCAGGCCTAGAGAGGGTCTCATGGCTGTAACAGTGGGGAGGGGATACCTACAGACGAGAAAGTTGCCAGGAGATCCAGAAGCATTCTGGTGGCTTTGTCTCTAACTCCCTCCCTCCCCTGCTTCTTCCCCCGCCACAGCTCAGCTGCTTTATCAGGAGTACAGCGATGTGGTTCTGAACAAGGAGATCCAAAGCCAGCAGCGGCTGGACAACCTGGCGGAGGCCCCTGGGCCCGCCTCCCCCCGGCAGCCCCGGAAGGCTCTGGTGTCCTCAGAGTCCTACCTGCAGCGCCTCTCCATGGCCTCCAGGAGCTCCCTCTGGCAGGAGATCCCTGTGGTGCGCAATAGCACTGTGCTGCTCTCCATGACCCATGAAGACCAAAAGCTGCAGGAGGTACCCAGCAGGCCAGGGCAGGGCAGGGAGAGGGATATGGGAGGGAGGGCCCCCATCCTCACCATGACCACACACCTGTGCATGCCCCAGCTATCAGTCATCTTCACTCTGCTGGACTTGAGTCGATCTCAGAAGGTCGCCACCAGCCTGCCCCTTCACTTCTCATGCCATGGCCATTTCCTACCACCCAGTATTGGTTCAGATTCATACACAGCGGCCATGCCTCCAAATTTGTTGGGAGACTGTGGAGTTAATCCCATCACTACTGCTTCAGGCTAGACTAAAATTTCCCTTTCAGCCAGGGTTTCAGGCTCCGCTGAAGATTTCCTCTTCAGCCAGGGCACATACAGGGGCTTTTTGTTGGGTCCCTTGAAGACTGGGTGCCCCTTGCACCTGTCCTGTGTTCCATTGGACCCATAGAGGCTTTTGAATGGCCATCAGTCTCTGCTTGGCCCTTACTCCCAATGGCAAGACTGTAGTAGAGGCTGTTTGTCTGATGCTATTACCGTTAGTGGGTTTCGCATGGAGAGCTTCTCTGGCAACCAACCTGAAATACACCTTTCTTCCCAGGAAGACAGTGTGGCACAATGGAAAGGTGCCCTGGAGCAGTGTTTACGTACTTAGGTTCCAGAGTAAATGACCTGGCAGCCCACTGTAGTATTTCCTAGCTATTTAACTCTGGCCAAATGACTTGCTCTTGCAAAGCTTCTGTTTCCTCATTTGTAAAACTGCTTTGCAAAGAGGTACTGGGAGAATTTTTTTAAAAAAAGAAAAGAAAGATAAGTTGCTAATATGTAGTAATCATGCAAAACATAATCAGGCAAGCTGGGTTTGAAGCCTGGCTTCAGCATTTACCAGCTCTGTAACCTCAGGCAAGTTATATAACAGCTCAGTCTCAGTTTCCTCATCTGAAAATTGAGGATAATGAATGCCTACCTTCCAGGTTGCTGTGCGGTTTAAGTGAAATAACACGTATCTGGCTATAAACATAGTGTGTGGTATGTGGTTTGCTATGTAGAGTGCTGGGCTCTCCCCTTCAGAGGTGGGGAGGAAAAAGCATGTGGGCCAAAAGACTTGTGGATAAACTGCTTTTACCGGGTCAAACAGAGGCAGGTGTGCATTTTAGGATTTTTGAGGCTCAGACTTGGAGACCCTGCTCTGACCTCAACTTTTAAAGCTCTTGGAGGGTACTTAGGAAATCACTGCTCTGCCCTGTAATTGTGGACTTAGCAGTGGGATGAGGTCTGAAGCCGAGCTGTCTTCTACCGCCTCCAGCACACTCGCGGGTCCGCCGCGGCTCCCAGGCCAGCCGGCCTCATGTCTCTGAGAAGCCGAGCCTCTGCGTTCATAAGCACATGTTTCTTTCATAAAACAGCACTTCTGGGGGCTACGAAATGCTCTCACTGACTCCATTTCTCTTGACTGTCACATCTTTGTCAGGTGGGGTCACTATCCTTGCACAAAAAGACAAGAAAACTGGTCCAGAGAGGGTAAATGAGCCACCCAGAGTCATATAGTCAGAAGTCACAGGTACAAGTGAACCTTGGGAGTTCTCCGCTCAGGAGTGACTCCATCACTTTCCCAGTTACTGGACTCAGAATGGAGGCATTAGCCGTGACTCTTTCAGCTCTTTCAGACCCATTCCTAGCACATAACCGGGTTCTTCCAGTGTCCCTCCATCTCTCACCTGGACTCACTAAGGCAGTTTCCTAACATGGCTCTCTTGCCCCTTCTAGCCTTTTCTCCACATTGTGCTTAGACATACATTGACGATCGAGTTATTCCTCTATGTAGAAACTCTTTGTTTCCCCGTGGTCTCTGGCCCAAACTCTCTTACCTTGTTTACACAATCCTCCAGGCCTCCACCGGTCTGCCTCTCTGGCTTCATCTCCTGCCACTACTATAGCACATGGTTCCGAAACGCTCAGTTTAAGTTTCTGGGAAGCATCTTTTTTCTCTCACCCGTGGGGCCTGCACACATTCCTCCCTTGGCTTTGGTGCTCTTTCCCTCTCCCCAGTATCAGCTTAGGTTCCCGTGCGATGGTGGGCGACAGAGGGATCCGTCTTGGTCACCACTCTACCCCTAAAACATACACCAGGGACTCAAAAAGTGTTTTTTTTAATCTTCCTCCTCCCCAACTCCTAGGCCAAGTTCGAGCTAATTGTGTCGGAGGCCTCCTACCTGCGCAGCCTGAACGTGGCTGTGGACCACTTCCAGCACTCAGCCCAGCTCCGTGCCATCCTCTCTAACCAGGAGCAGCAGTGGCTCTTCTCCCGCCTCCAGGACGTGCGTGACGTCAGTGCCACGTAAGATCCTGTATCCCTGGGGCCACTCACTCAGCCCCAAGGTCTTCATCCTGTCAACCTTCCCTTGGGGTTTCTCTCCACTGCTCCCTCCCTGACTGCCGGTGGCCGCGGGGAGAGGGAGGGAAAAGAAGAGGAGGGGCGGTGGATGTATAGAGCCACTGGTGGATGAACAAATGACTGAGAAGTGCCTCCTGGGTTGAGTTTCGGATGAACTGTGCGCATGCAGGGCATTGGAGATGAGACTGGGAAGCATCTAAAGGTTAGAAAACCAGAACATGTTACAAAAAAGGAACAAGAAATGGAATATTAGGACCTGAGAGTGAGATCAGGGAAAACTAGGAGCAGCATCGGAGAGGACTCTAGTGCAGAGCAGGGGCCCAGAGCTGAGCGCAGTCGATAGGAGTTAGTTACTAATGGAGACATCACAGGCTCGAAGGACAGCAGGGCTCAGCCAGCAGCTCACGTGAAGCCCAGGGGTCTCACGAGACCTGTTTGAACTCGCTCAGGTTCCTTTCAGACCTGGAGGAGAACTTCGAGAACAACATCTTCACCTTCCACGTGTGTGATGTCGTCCTGAACCATGCCTCCCACTTCCGCAGGGTGTACCTGCCTTACGTCACCAACCAGACCTACCAGGAGCGCACCTTCCAGAATCTGCTGTGAGACCTGTCCCCGTTCATCCCCCTGTGGGGTGGGCGGGACATGACCTTGTACCCGAACTACAACCCCCAACCCAGAGTGCTGTCCCCAAAGCATGTTTCCTTGTGCCTGCTCCCAGACCTCAAGGCCCACCTGCCCTTTGCAGTGAGAGGCCCTCAGCCATTATGTCTGCGCCCTGTCTGGCTCCATGTCACCAGACCCCACCACTCCTCCCTGACCCAGAGATGTCTCACTGTGCATGTTTCACCATGTCCCCACATTCCCCACCCCTCCTCACTTGGCTCACTGTCTGCACAGGGCTTCCAACAGCAGTTTCCGCGAGGTCCTGGAGAAGCTGGAGAGTGACCCTGTCTGCCAGCGCCTGTCCCTCAAGTCCTTCCTGATCCTGCCTTTCCAGCGCATCACCCGCCTCAAACTGCTGCTCCAGGTACAGGCCCCACCTAGGACTCTCTCCTCATCTCAAAGGGGGCCCTCCTGTGCTGCCCCATACCCCGTGGACAATGGGCATTTCCCCACCACCCACACCCTTCTTTCTCAGGGTGAATTTGCTACTAAAATTGTGTTCCTGGACCTTTCCGTTAGCCCACCCCCATCCTCTCTTCCTGTTTCCCATCCCTCATCCATCTAGCTGCTCTACTCTCTGTTCTATAGAACATTCTGAAGAGAACACAGCCTGGGTCCTCAGAGGAAGCGGAGGCCACAAAGGCGCACCACGCCCTGGAGGAGGTAGGCAGCTCCCACTTCCCCTCACAGAGAGGTCTTCTGGGCCCAGGTCCACAACCACGGCTGATGGGAAATCCCAGGCACCTCCTATATCCACCAAACCTCCCTCCACACCCATAGCCTCCTCTCCCTCCCAAAGGACGCTGCAGCCAATCTCCAGATTCCATCTTTTCGCTTGGCTCAGGAATGCTAACCCTGTCATACTAAGTCTACCAGGGTCCCAAAACTTCAACCAGATGCTGCCTTCATGCAGTGTGGGCCTGTAGAAAGACCCGCTGTCACAACTACTGATTTCCAGATTCCTTGTAGGGGCTCAGAGGTCAAACCTCTGACCTAGTGCTCTTCCTCTCTCCTCACCCTGCCCTGCGCAGCTGATCCGGGACTGCAACAACAATGTCCAGAGAATGCGCCGGACAGAGGAGCTCATCTACCTGAGCCAGAAGTTTGAGTTCGAGTGCAAAGTGAGTGAGTCTCGGCATGTCAGCAGGTCACCTGCTAACACAGAGCTCTCCTGCTCTCACCATGCCAGTCTCTAGACTCACGTCTGCACGCCTTTGTTCTGTCCAGTTTCTGGGGTGCCTGAGTGCCTACTTCCTTCTCCATGATACCCCGTTAAGTGAAAAGGGGGAGATGCAGAACTGTGTGTATTACCTTTGGTGGGAAAGTAGGAGGGTGCAAATCTGTATATGCGTTTGCTTGTGTGTATATAAAGAAACTGAAAGGGAGACATAAGAAAGGACAGGGTCTCCCGAGGGGCAGAGAGTGCACTTGGGAACTGGGCAGACGAGAGAGAATTTATCAGTGAAAGTCTTTATAAAGACGTGTATCTGGTGCTTCAACCAGTCAATATTTTATGGTCTCCATTCTAGTGTAGCCACAGAGATATAAAATTGAATCCAAAACTAGGGCCAAAGTTTCCCATCCAAATGCAGATCTGCAGTAGACATTTAAATTCCAGCTCAGAGCAGATACCATTCTTATCTCCCCAAGAGAGGGACCATCCCTTGTCTACATATCGATCATAGTTTCTACCCTTATCTTTGCCCAAATTCCAGCTCCAAGCAGATTCTACCTAGTTCTAAATCTCATTTGCACATGTGATCCCAGCTGCTCCTCTCACGTCTCTGGTTATAATCAAAGAAAGAACCGATGTGGGAACTGCCCAACCTTCTAATTTCTGAGACACACACACATGCTGTTCCCTGCCTTCTTTCATCACATGCCCTAGCTGGGCTTGTCACGTCTCCTTCAGTTCAGGTTTCTAGGGCTGAGCTTTCTCACATGGTCACTATTCGAGTTGGACCGTAGGCACCTTCCATGGCCTGAGTTGTGCACATGGGAGCTGGACCACAGTAGACACTGGTGGTTGGTTGGGGGGTCCACAGAGAAGCAGAGTCTGAGGGGTACGTCATGAGCAAGCGGGAAGATGTGGAAGAGCTGATTGTCAGTGGAGCTTACGAGGAGGGGGCATGGTGAGGAGGGCAGGACCAAGAGGAGCCTCACTTTGGTCCTGCGTGTGACTATGCCTTCTTGCCCTCCCTTGCCCTGCAGATCTTCCCGCTCATTTCACAGTCACGCTGGCTGGTAAAGAGTGGAGAGCTGACTGCGCTGGAGTTCAGCGTCTCCCCGGGGCTGCGAAGGAAGCTGAACACGCGCCCGATCCATCTGCATCTTTTCAACGACTGCCTGTTGCTGTCTCGGCCCCGAGAGTCAGTGACTGGAATGGGAGGCCAGAGCACCAGGGGGAAGTAGGGGAGGCCAGAGGCAGGACAACAAGGGATAGAGAGGGGACGTGTCCCTAAAGGAACCCTTCTCAGTGGCCCAACCTGTGAAGTCAGGTTGTGGCACAGGTCGTGGCACAGAGAAGAGAAAGAAAGATCCAAAGCAAAAAAGGGGATCCCACCAAATTATGTCACAAGATCACACGGCAAGACCTGTACCATGTTATAGACACAGAGCAAAATGCAGCAAATCAGCTATTGTGTTCTCAATTGGTCACTCTGTGGTTTCTCTGGGCCATGTTCAGCCTGCTAGCCTAAAGATACTTAACCAATTCCAGATCCTAACTCTTTGGTCCAAAGGGACTTAGAAAATTTGTATTGGTTCTGTCTGCAACTCTTTAAAGTGGTGAAGTATCCATGAGACTAGATATGTGGTTTGCCAAGCTAGTGACAGATCCCTGGGGACCCTGGAGCTATCACCCTGAGAGCAAGTTAGCATCATGGTATGGCTTTAGGAGAATTTGCAGGCTACAGATGCCAAAGACAGACACTTGGAATCCAGAGATCTGAAGGTGGATGAGGTATGACAATGCTAGATCTGGTTGAAAAGCCTTGTACTTTGCAGGGGCAGCCGATTCCTGGTGTTTGACCACGCTCCCTTCTCCTCCATCCGGGGGGAAAAGTGTGAAATGAAGCTCCATGGACCTCACAAAAACCTCTTCCGGCTCTTCCTGCTGCACAACACACAGGGCACCCAGGCTGAGTTCCTGTTCAGCACGGAGACTCAGTGAGATGGGGCTGGCAGAGGAGCTGGGGGATGGGGCACGGCAGCCTGGGAAGGAAGTGGGACCAAGGCAGGAATGTGTCCAATAAACAGCCACAGCACTGTTGAGTCCATGCTAGACCTGAGAGCATCCACAGAGAAACCCAAACTCCTGGCGCTAATAGGCACCTGCAGGAGATTGGGGTGGGTGAGGGCATATCTTCGTATCTACCGTATTCCCTTTAGTCTGGAAGGACAAAGCCTGTGAGTTACCAGAAAGGAGATGGACAGGTGTGGAGTCACTAGAGTCAGGTTACTGACATCCATGAGCGAGTGCCCATGTGTGCCAGCCAGAAATCCCCGTTCCCCATGCTGGTGCACCTGTGTGAATGGGACAAGCACTGGGTGCCTCGGGCCTTCCTTGTCCCATCTTCCAACCCAGTCCTGTGTCGAGCAGAAATCCATAGTGTTGAGAACATCAATGTACTCATAATAATAATTGAAAAATACATTCACACATAGAGAACATATTGGAGAATATTAAAAAATAATAGCTATAAAATCTGGTACACTGGGCCAGTAATAATGAGTAGCTACAAGATGATACCTTTTGGTGATGTTATAAAAGATACGTGAAATCTTTCCTTGAAAAAGAATTGCCATGATACTTAATAGTCTGAGGCTCCTCATGTTTCAACTTTTCAGTACTGTCCCTGGGAAGACCTTCCAGGGTGGGATCAATAGTGCTGTGTTCACGGGGCAGAGGGCCTGGTGCAGGATTCTGGATGCACAGTATCACCCACACCAAGTAATCAGACACGGCCTCACGGCCTTTGCTTGGTGCTTTGGGCCACATCTTCCTGGAACAGTGGCAGTGCCAGCTCTCAGTTACTCTGGCGTGTTTGGAAGCCAAGGCTAAGATAATGCAAAAACCTTTAGATGATCACAAAATTAGGCTAGGATGATATTACACAATAAAAATTAGGAGATAGAGCTCCCCGATCTAATTATGATCACAGAATGATTTTTATCTCTGAGACATTTAATAGAAAGGAGGTGGGCAGAGGAGTGTCAAGAATTATGCAAAGTGACAGAGGGGAATCTAAACTGAGATAAACATTTAGCTTAGTACAGTTCCCAAAATGGAAAATGCACCTGTTTCTAACCATTGACTTTATGTCCCCACTTGAAAGATATGAGATGCCACTGACAGGATAAACTTGGAAAGTGAAGGAAAAATTAAAGGTTGGCTAGACATTAACATCCAGTTCAAGGTCCTGTCCTGTTCCCAGCCAAGCAGGGTCCCGCCGGCTTTTGCCCTAGACAGCACTGAGCTAGATAGGTTCTTCCCACAGCCACATTTTTTCCCATTGCTGCCCCTCGTCCCACCCCTAGTGCTGCCTCTGAAGCAATGCCCCTCTGCTTTTTCAGGAGTGAAAAGCTTCGCTGGATCTCCGCCTTGGCCATGCCCAGAGAGGAGCTGGACCTTCTGGAGTGTTGCGGTGAGTGGGAGTCTGAGACGAAGAGGAAATGGCAGGGTCAGAAGTCTCCTTCAGAGGCAGGAGTTGAGAGGGCCGGGTGGTAACTCAGGGAGGCTTCTGTTTAGTGTGTTTGTCCAGAATTTCAGGGCTGAAGACTGGCCACTGGAGGCTAACCACCTGAGATGCATCTGCTTAAAGCTGCCCACCACCATGGCAATGCCTCATCCCCATGCCATCCCTACCTGGGGCAATAGTTTGCCCTTTTTAAATATTTGGCCCCTTAAGTCTATCCTGTTATTGTTTTGCCTGGATGTCACTTGCTTGAAGGTCTTAGGGGAACTAGGGGGAGGAAGCAGGGCTGGAGTGGGAGTTGTGAGACAATGGCCCAACAGTTTTGTCTTATTAAGCACACCCTGTCCCATATAGGATGACCTGAGACCACTGCCCCACCCCAGGCTTCCAGGCTCTCACAGGTAGCCCCAAGTAATGAGTGTGTCTGCATTCACACTAGGACTGGAGTCCTATAAGGACTGGTCTCCTATAAGCCCCACCGTTGTCCACCAGCAAGGATTCCCTAATCCATATGGAAAAGGAACTGAATTCGAAGGAAGACTGGAGCTCCGTTGACTCAAAAGAACAAACAAATACAAGGAAGTGTGGGAAAGGAAGTAGGGGAAGCGGGCTGCAGACTGAGTACTGCTACCTGGCCCACCTTCCATCCTGCCGCTGGGCTTCAGTCCACAGGGCTGGCGGGGACAGCGGATCGTTCCTCCCCCGCTGTGACCTTGTGGGCGGCGTAGGGTGGCTCTGGAAGAAGTGTGGGTCATTAGGCACGTTCTGTTCCTCTCTGAGGACACCGGTGCAGTTAGAAAGGAGAAAGGGCAGTAAACCCGCGGGAGACGGATGCTTGTGGGTCAGGAGTACTCTGAGAGTATTAATCTCAAGCTTCAAACTGGAGGAATTTCCCCCAATTCACAATATAGAAATAAGGGAAATCCAGAATTATCTCAAGAATCTTCTTGGTCAACCCAGTCATGTGCCGGTGAGGAAACTGAGGCTGAAGGGGATTGAGCGCCTTCTTAGATTGGACCTGGGACCCCACCAGTTAAGTCTCCTCGGGGGTCACATCGAGTACTGGGGGAAAAACGCAGAATGAGATAGAAACTCGGGTTTTACAACCTCTTTGCAGAGTCAACCAGGCCGGGGTTACCTGGTCTTGCATAGCCCGAGACCGTCAGTTTTGAAGGAGTTCAGAATCCACTGAGGACCGAGTCGGGAAGCTTCCAGAGGGAAGATGGGTCTGGAGTGTTTGTAATACCGAGGCACTAAAGGTGTGCCCTGTGTAGTTTTCCATTCAGGTTCTCCAGAGAAACAGAATTTTTGGTTCATTTCAATTCTGGCATTTCCAGTTCCTGGTCAACCATTTCGTTCCCTGGTAAAGATGAGGACTTTGCCAGTGGTCTCTTGTCTGTAACTTTCACAAGCCCAGCCTTTTCCCATCCAAGTCCTCCCAGCCTCCCCTGCAGTTCCTGACCTCTGTCCCAGTCGCTTGCCTCTCACCTCTCTCCACACTCGTCTGTTCCAGACTCCCCGCAAGTGCAGTGCCTTCGAGCCTACAAGCCCCGAGAGAACGACGAGCTGGCTCTGGAGAAGGCAGACGTGGTGATGGTGACTCAGCAAAGCAGCGATGGTAAGGCAGAATGCTCGAGGGGCAGGCTGGCGCTGCAGGCGCGACACTGTAGATGGGTGTATTCTCTTCCCAGGGCTGCGGTAAAAGTGCCACAAATTGGGTGGTATAAAACAATAGAAATGTATTCTCTCATGGGTTTGGAGGTCGTAAGTCCAAAACCAAAGTGTTGGCAGGGCCATGCTCCCTCTCCAGCCTCCAGCTTTCTCCCAGCTCCGGTAGCTCTAGGTATTCCTTGGCTTGTGGCAGTGTAACTCCAATCTCTACCTCTGTCTTCCTTCTGTGTGTGTGTCCTAATTTCCCTCTTTAAGGATACCTGGTACATTGGATTAATGGCCCACCTTACTTAAGCCTGAGCTCATCTTTTTTTTTTTTTTAAATATATCTTTATTGGTTTCAGAGAGAGGAAAGGAGAGGGGGAGAGAGAGAAACATCAATGATGAGAGAGTCATTGATTGGCTGCCTCCTGCATGCCCCTGACTTGAGATTGAGCCTGCAACCTGGGCATGTGCCCTGACCAGGAATCGAACCCCAATCGCCTGGATCCTAGGTCGATGCTCAACCGCTGAGCCAAGCCCCACTGGACTGAGCTCATCTTAACTTGACTAATTACATCTGCATCAACCCTGTTCCCAAATAAGGTCTCATTCTGAGGTATTTTGGGGTTAGGACTTTTTTTTTCTTTTTAAAAAATATATCTTTATTGACTTCAGTGAGAGGAAGGGAGGGAGACAGAGATAGATAGAAACATCAATGATGAGTCATTGATTGGCTGCCTCCTGCTTGCCCCAGACTGGGGATCGAGCCTGCAACCCAGGCATGTGCCCTGACCTGGAATCGAACTGCGATCTCCTAGATCCTACGTGGGTGCTCAACCGCTGAGCCATGCCCAGCTGGGCTGGGGTTAGGACTTCAACGTATATTTTGGGGGAGCACAATTCAATCCATGAGAGTGGAGAAAGAACACTGAGTAGGCAGCTTAGACTTGGCCAGACCTAGAGCAGCAAGGTGAGTGCCCGGGGAGGTAGGTGTCCCATACCCTGGGGGCTCACCAGTCCATTCAGCCTTATGATTCAGAAATGTTTCCGGGAAGGAGGTTCAGGGGAAATGATGGCAAGTGTCTTCCAGATAATTCTTCTTCCCACCCACCCTGTGCCCATAGGCTGGCTGGAGGGCATGCGACTCTCAGATGGGGAGCGAGGCTGGTTTCCTGTGCAGCAGGTGGAGTTCATTTCCAACCCAGAGGCCCGTGCACGGAACCTGAAGGAAGCCCAGCGAGTCAAGACGGCCAAGCTACAGCTTGTGGAAAAGCAGACCTAGCTATTCTCTGAAAGGGCTCCCTGAGCTTAAGGACAAGATGTTCTTGGAGAGGGCTGGCCCCACAGCCCTGCAACAGAGGCCTTCTATGGGCCAAGAGCTGGACCTTCTGAGAGCCCAAAGACAAAATCCAGTCATCAGTTGCTAGATCCCTGCCTCCTGTTTTGTTCCTTGTGCTTGGTCGGGGACTCTGAGGGACTTTGCACCGGACTCTGGAAACCTATTCTCATAGGAAATGGGACCAGTGGGGCCTACGCCAAAGAACTTTACTTCTACTGTATAGTACTTAAGCATTCTCTGCCCCCAGAGTGCAGGTTCAGTTTCTGTCGTGGCCATATGTTAGAATCTGACCTCAGTCCACACTGGTTGGAGAGGTTTAAGGGGGTTAACATGTCAGATGGGAGCATCAACCTGGTGACCTCTGAGGTATCTTCCAACCCTAACGATTTTCCATGATTGTTGGTATGAGGTAGTGCATGCATCTCTGGGACCTGCTGATGGCGATGTGAGGGGGATGCTCTCTCACGCTAATAAACTTGGCACTACTCGAACGTTTTCTCCTGAGACTCTTGAGCACTGGGTGGGGTTCAGAACATGGAGTCCCAGGGGGCTTCCAGGTGTCATGAAAGATGAAGATAGAGCCTAGGCCATGGTATCTGTCAAATCTTGCTTTGTGACTCCCAAGAATTTAGGCAGTTTCTCTGCTTGGTATGGTCTGAGACGTTGTATAAGAAATTAGGAGGAAGGGAGAAAAAGGGACATCTATAATATTTTAAACAAAAATAAAATTTAAAAAAAAAGAAAAGGAAGGAATTGGTGGGTCATAAAAATGTTAAAACACTATTCAAACTTCTCTTTAAACTGTAAGGTATAGGCTAGTTGGAGTGGATTTGGAAATCCTTCTCAGACCATTCATGATTTTATATTTTGATTTGAATTAGTGTGAAGGTATCTTCCCGGCTGTTTCATCCTGTTTGTGAAAAGCAGTACAGTGTAATGAAAAGAGTCGTAGGATCCAAGTCAAGAGACCCATACTCCAGTCCCCACACTGCCATGATTCAGCCTGCGCATGTCTCAGTCTCTTCAAATGTAAAATGCAAGCTTGGACCAAGTAACTCTGAAGTCCCGTCCAGCTCTACAGTGTGTGATTGTCTAGCTCCAATCAGATCTCCCTTCTCAGCTGAAGAGCATCACTCTTTACTTTTCCCTCACATAGAGCCTCATACAGCACCTGCACAGCCATTGTCTAAGCTGGGCCATTACAGTCCTTTCCTGGACAGTCTGTGCCTCTGCTTTGGCTTTGGGAGGGCTCAGCAGGAAAACTGCGTTGCAGCTTTGTACAAAGGTGAGAGTCATGCTACACCCCATTCTATATCCAGCTAACGATGACATGACCTGATAGCATCACTTTTCATAACACATTTTGTTTTCAGTCCATCCAGAAATGTAGGCTGGCTTGCTTAATTTTTAGAAAAGTTATCCCTATCGTAATTAAGATAGGGCTAATAGTAATTTATCCTAAACAGGTTGACACTACTAAACAATCTAAAATGGGATGGTTTTAGAAAAGTTCTATTGAGGTTTTTCACTATTTTCATAAAGCCAGCTTTTTGTTAATATATCATATATTAATATGTATATATTATATGTAAATTAACTGGTTTTTCTTAACAGCAATAACAATAATTATAATCTTAATTTTATTTGTTCAAACCAATATTTGAATAGTGGCCTTATGACTCAAACAGAGGCATATCCAACCTTAGATTTTCTAGCCAAATTTTCCCAGAGAGGTAAAATACTAACTTCTGAATGATATACATGCAAATAATCTTTTTAATTGAATGACTGCTTCTTTGTCTGAAGTTGCTAAGGCTTTCTGAGCACCGGTGAAGCCAACTTCTGAAAGGCTGAAACCCTCTTCAGGTATTTAATATGAGTTTGTTTAATTGGGTCATTCTCATCTGTGATATTAAAAGACAATAGGTTTCTACCTGTCTTTAGGTCCTTGGTGTTAAAAGAAAAATGAAAAACAGACTAACAAAACTTATATGAGTCATCTCCCCTCAGCTGAATTGCTAAATTTCCTGTACCTTGGGTTTCACAGAACTGGGTCCAGGCCCAATCATTGTCCCTTCCGCAGATTTCCAGAATCTTACTCAACTTAATTCTTTAATTCTGATCAGCCTCATTGTCTTAGAAAAAGCAATTTCTTACCAGACATTGTGAAAACAACAACCATTAGCCAACATTTTTCTGACAGAACTGCTTTTGAGGCCTATACGAATATACAGGGCTTTGTTGGGTTTTTAAATAAAACTATGCACAGGGTAGTGTCTTCAGGAGACAACAACCCTTTTTATGGCCCCTTTGCTGACTTGTAATGAGGTTGGGGTGTAAAACCATATGGATATCTGTGAACCGTTTCCTCTGTGCACTGGACTACACTGGACCTCCATCACTTTTGCCTCCTCCAGATTTTTACTGGGCACAACTTGCTCTGTTGTGGTTATTTATAATGATTTTAATAAGATCAGCCTACATGTTAGTGTCAGGAAGGCTGACAGGTAAAGATGTGTTTACTTCCCTTAATTTAGTTTTCCGTCTCTTAAACAACCTCTATATCCATGATGCAAATAAAATGGATTTCAGTTCTATGATGACTGATTTTTGTTTAATTGGCCTTTGGGATAGAAGTTGTTTAAAAGTCTTTGAAAATCTAAAGAAATTCCATTCCCTGGCTCCCTCCTGTCACACATACATTTACCCACTGATATAACCCAATTTCCTTCTGGACCCCATGTCACTCTACCCAGGGCAGTCTGTGTGCTTTTAAATGTTTAGTGGTGCTTCCCTTATTGTAGCCTCCTCTTGTTAATGAGACCAAATTAGGAGTCCAGGATTTCGATAGAGTTGCCCTTTATAGACACTGTTCCTCACCCACCTGCCCCAGGACACATCGCGGAACCTGGTGTGTGCTTGTTCGAGGTTTTCAGTCTGTTCATAACTATCTCAGGGTGCGGGGAGGGGTTGGCTCCATCACTAATACAGCTGGGTGACTCGGGAGCCCAATGGCTATAAAGGTGACTCAAGAGCTGCCTGCTGTTTAATGCAATCGCCTGACTCTGAAATCAGGTGTGCAGAGGGGCCAAAGGTTACTAGTCAACCAGCTAAAGAGCTAAAGAGAAACCGATGGCCAAACCCAGGCATGATTCAAACGCCCTGAGAGCATTCTCTTTAAATAGCCTCCGACCCCTTCTTCCTACCCGCCCATTTCAAATTGCAGTGACGCAGTAGACATTTCTCCAGCCTCTCCCTCGGAAGAGATTCAGGCCACGCGCCCACTGAGTCTGCAGAGCTCCCAGGGACAGAAGACAGGCTGCGGTCACCAGGAAGACAGACGCAGACGCAGGGCGCGTGGTGAGTGGACGGTGGCTTGTTCCTCTGGGCTGGTGAACGGGCTTGTGTGGGGGAGGTAGGGAGCTGGGTCGGTGTTGCTGTGAAGGTCTGAGCTGGTGCCGGAGCTCCCAGGGAGGGACTACTGATCCCTGCTGCTTGGTGAGTGAGTCATGGGCCTGAGGGCAGAGCCTGCTAAGGGAGGGGCCCAGTCTGGCCCACAAAGTCCTCCTGGAGCATCAGCGAGCAGATAAATATTTTCCTGGCAGTTATCTGAGCATTTCATGGAGGCAACTACCTCTGAACAATGCAATGGAAATTCAGTGGAGTGGGAGTCGGGTCAGTTTACAGCACTGAATGAGAGGGACCACAGACCAAGGGGCTCTGGGACACCAGGGAGAAAGTTCAGACTCTCCTGGAAAGGGTGGCTGGGAGTGACAGACCATGGGTACTGCAGTAGAGTCCACAAGTCCAGCCAGAGGGATTTCCGCCACCTCAGAAGCAGATGGTCTCTGGGAGAAAAGGGAAATGCAGACGGCAGAGAAAGGCTGGACTCTTGCATGGGGCTCATCCAGCCAGTTTTAGAGTGTTTTCCTATTGAGACCCACTTGGTGGGGATGAGAGATTCATCCCCTGTTGGGGGCAGCAGAACCCTAAATGTGTTTGTGTCTAACACCCTCACTTGTCACGGTGGAGCCTGGAGAGGGGAGACAGTTTGCGTGATGTCACACAGCCAGTGAGTTATAAACTGCAATTTACAACAGCCCGGTGTTCACCAATAGGGTTTAAGCGGGTGACCTGCTGAGTTTGTTGAAGGTGACTTGCCATAAATTATTAAGATTGAGTCGACACAACATGGATAGGCAGATCATTTTTGAGAGCGTGGGAGGAGCAGGTGGTGAGACTTGTGGAATTGTTAATAAGCAGGCTTTGGCGATAGAATTGAGCATGGCCAGGCAACCGACTGGAAACATACAGAAGGTGTGGTTTGGCCTCAAAGAAATGAGGAGTGTCTGGAGTGTTTGTGCGTGTGCTCATGCCTGTGTATGTGCACGTGTGTGAGTGTGTGTGTATGTGAAGGGGTGGCTGTTTAGCTTTCGGGCTGGAGAGGACTAGAGGGTCTTTACTAGAGGAAGGAATTTATGCAGAGACTGGGCTTCCTCCTTGAAATGAAGCAATTTGGGTGTTAACAAAAGGGGAAATAAGAGGAAAGAGGGCATTTCCAGTTGAAAATCAAGGTAAATGGGTGTGTAAAATAACGGCAGCCCTTTAAACTGGTTCTGGGGACAATCTTTAGTTCATGGGGTATAAGAACGCACTCAATTACGCCAGTTCAAATAATTAATCATTACAGGAAGTAACAGAAAAGTCCAACAAAAGCAAATAACGGGCGAGGAGGTATGATGAAGGCGCGGGCAACCTGGATGCTTGGACACGGAGAGGCTTAGTGTTGCTGATAGCTCGGAAGGGGCCACATTCCCCGCCGGCTCTAGGGAGGTGGTGGGCGAGGGTGCCAGGCTGGGAGGGCACACTGCTGAGGATGCAGTGGAAGGGACCGCAGGACGGCAACAGGGTGAGAGTGCACTGGAAGGGACCGAGGAATCTCCAGTCTCTGTGGGTGGAAATTCCACTCCCAGATAATACAACTCCGGCAGGAGGAATGTACCTGATGCAAGTAGACCAGAGTGATGAGACTAAGAGCCAGATAACCGGGGGAAGCTACAAATGCAGGCGAAGCCGGAACGCTGAGGCCGCAACCGGCACCTCTGGACTCCCTTTACCTGTAAGTCATGCTCCCAGATGCCTGGGCTCTAACGCCCGTCAGTTTGACATTGTCCCCTGCCCACTCGCACAGTCAGGGTCTGCTGGTTTCCCTCCGTGTCCCTGCACCGTTTGTCTCAGCAGCTCAGTCCTGGGCACTGGAGACTCCCCGAGGGCCCACCTACCTGCTCCCACTCTCCCCCCACAGGCTTTCTGGAGGCGTGGGCTGTCACCACCTCCAGTTCCAGCCTCCTGTTCACCCCTCTTGCCTACCTGGTAATGAGGCTGCTCATGGCTGGGTCGCACCCGGCCCTCGGGCCCCCCACCTGCCTCCTCTCTGTCCGCTCGTCCCTCGCGGCCTGTAGTTCTCACACAGGCCAACCCCTTCCGGCTCTGGAGCACAGAGCCTCCTGTTCCCTTTCCCGCTGTCCTCTTTGCCCTCTCCTGCCTCACAACAAGGTCCCTAATTCGTTTAGATCAAACTGAACAGCACTGAGTGTTGGTTATCCAAGCACAGACCTAGGGTCTATGGAGGATTCCACACCTAATCTAGATTATACCTGCTGTTTTACTGCACTCACCCTACTTTCCGACTTTTCTTGGCTCCCTCCAGCACTATCAGGAAACGCAGCTTCTTGACGCTAGCGCCTCCTAACCAATACTCATTTCTTTTGCAACTTTGGGCCAATACTTAAAGGTCTCTGAGCCACATGAATAATGTCTTATAAGAATAAATAAATAACGCCTTACAGAGTTGACGTGAAATGACCTATTAGAGAGCTACATACACAGTAAGTGCTAAATAAATGATTATCATCAATACTTTGAGGACCAATTTCTGGGTAAACTCTTTCAGTTCCTCACATGGTGTCGTGAAACGCACACGCCGAGCTGGCTGTCACAAGGAGCCATTCACCTATTAAGGCTCTCGAATCTTCTCCCACAACCTCCCCACAGGCCTCTTGGATACAGATCCAGCCATTCCGGACTCCTCCTTCCTCATCCCAGTCCCAGTGCCCTTGCACTCTAGGTCCCTCTGCCTGAAATACCCTCTCTCCCCTGTGTCCCCAATTTCTGTTCTCCCGTGTGGCAGCCTCACCTCTGGGACCCCCTACGCATTGTTCTTATTCCCGGGGCTGGCCCTGCACAGCACCACCCACCTGCGGCCTGACTGGGTGCTGGTGTGGTCAGACTCCTCACGGAGACTGTCGGTCCCCTGGAAGCTAGAAGACGTTTGTTTTATCTATTGTGTTCATCCAGGACCATAGGTGCCTGTGGATCCCACTGATCCCGAAATAAGTGGCTGCCTTTATTTCTGAGATTTGTGATGAAACTCAAAACTGAGAGGGTATTTTTGAAAGAACAGTGTAAACTAACCCAAAAATATAAGAACCATAAACCTCCCTCTGGATTAAAGTAACACCACTCCTGGGTGAAGGAAGATGTACTTCCTGGAACTCAGACTTACTCTTAATTCGTAAAACCCTTTGGGACTTGGAGTGGTATCAACAGGAGCCAACTTGTCTTTTGTGGCCTGTTTTTCTGCGCTCCGTTTATGCAAATCATGTTAATAGGCATTTAAAATAAATTATAATGGACAATCAGAAATATATAACTAATATAAAAAAATTAGCTAACAGGAACAGAAAATATAATAGGAATCCAACAGGTTTTAGAGCATTTTTAGGCTTGTGGAGCCTGAGTGGAGGGTTACAATGGCAGGCTGGAGGGGTTCCTCTATGAACTGGGTTCACGCCACAGTCTCGGGCTATTCAGGAGCCTGAACTGCAGAAAGCTGAGCCAAGATTAGAGGCCGACTCCTGGACAACCTCTGTTTAAGTCGAGAAGCTGTCACGGATGTAGAGTCCTTAGCAAAGCTCTGTAACTAGCATTGCCAGGTTTTGCATAAATAAAAATACAGGACACACTAATACTGTAGGAAGCATTCCTATACAAAAAAATAATTTGTTTTTCTGCAACTCAAATGCAACTGGACATCCTATATTTTATCTGGCAAACTAAGGTACAACTCAAATGACTAATATATTTGAACGTGATGTTCGTGGCTATAGGGCTTTTGGAATCATTAGCAAGGGCTTTCTTCCTGTAAACTAGCGACTTACAGGTTTTAAAACATGCAATACCTGACTAGTCAAGGGCACTGATATCTTTTCCCTTAGACTGTCAAAAATATGACAACAGCCAGCACAATAGCCCATCCACGTGAATCAAAATTATACCTACTTTCTGTCAGATCGGCAAAAAATCAATGCCGCAGAATTTTAGTAGTTAATGTGCGGTGAGGTGGAAAGGTTGACAATCCCTGCTGTAGTCGGCCAAGGCCACAGTGAAACTGGTGGTAGATCGCCACCTAGTGGGAACATTGTGATAGTGAAAGCTTAAATTAGACCGGGGAGACACTTTTTCTGGAGTCTGCAAGGAAGGATTCTGCTCTGGTCAGTGGCAAACCCCCGAGCTTGCACTGTTGAGAGGGTGAGAACAGCAGGAGGATGTGTATTTTCCAATAATCATAACATTCAGAGGTACAGAATGCCCCCCCCAATGCACAGGGGCACCGTGGGACTATCAGATGTGGGGTGCTAAATATATAAGAGCATCATCTTCTTGGTGCCCCCCCAAAGCTTTGGGAATGTAAGTCATGGTCCACAATACTGGAGACCCACCCTAACATATCCTTGGGCTTCTCTTATAATTCTGTCCCCACAGAGCCCAAATTCCAGAGAGAGGCCGGGCTCAGCTGTGTCCAGGTTCAGCTGGGTTTGGGAATACAACATGGATTACGGCAGGACTGAAGACAAGGCCCCAATGCCCAGTGGACACCTCACCTGGGACGCCCCGGACCACAGCCAACCACTGGTCAGCCGAGGGGAAGGCGGCGAGGGAAGTGGAGCCGTTACTCAGTGTGAGTGGGGAGACGCACAGTCACAGAGAGGAACCCAGGGCAGACTAGTTTACTGCTTACAGTGGATGCTGGCTCATTTGTCCAGCAGGGAAAGCAAACACACAACTGATAGAGCATTGGAAGTGATACGGCAGGCCATCCGCTCTCCTAGGGACCAGCCGCCATCCAGAGGTGTGGGCCACCCCCTTCCTTCACCATCCAGCAGGATGAGCCCACGCGGGGGTGTCCCACCTCCACCCCGTGACACAGTCCACAGCCTTTCCTGACGCTTCAGCCGCTGTCTCAGTGGTTCTCCACCCTCTCCACCGAGCAGCTGTCTCATGCGTGGCCCCATGACTAGGGGCCGTGGCTGTTCTTGTCGTCTCGGACCTGCTCGGGTGCTGGGCGCTGCTCCACAGTGGCCCTGGGCGGCTCCTCGGGGGCCTGGCTGGGTAAGGGCCCAGCTCCTGGTCCAACCCCCTCAGGCAGCCGGCTGGGCCCTGGAGAAGGCTGCCTGCTCACCGGCTGAGCATAGGGTGCCAGAAAGAGGTCGGGAAAGTAGCCGTCCCCTCCTGGGGGGTGCCCCAGAGCTTGAGGACAGAAGGGGCCAGGGAAAGGCAGTTCTGGCAAGCAAGGGTCATTCCAGGGCGCTGTGCCTGCGTGTCAGAGAACAGGGAAGATCAGACTGGACATCAGCCACCATGGGCTGTGATAGTCACCTCCACAGGGCACAGGGTGGAACCCCAAGCAAGTCCAGGGGACGAGCTAGCATCAGGAGCTCCCCTCAGGGCCAGTGTGCTCCTGACTCGGGGGCCTGGGTCTGGTAACAGACTCACACAGTGGATCGGGCAGCAAGGGGGCCGGGCACCACCTGCCAGTCTTTCCTCCCCTTCTACTGGAGTGTAGTCATAAGATGGTTGCTCCAGGTTCTCAGAGGCCCAGTGGCCCGTCAGAATGCTACACTAGCCGCCACCTGCTCTGTGGCGGGTGCGTCCCTCAGGTTGTTTCTCCCTCCACCCGGCTCCTCTATGACATGGAACAGTTCCTATTTCAGAGTCCAGGAAACTGAGGCCCAGGACAGCTGGAAACTGCCAAGCTGGACCTCAGACTTTGCTTTCCTAACTCCAGAGCTCTGGCTGACTCTCTCTGCAGCCCTGAGAAACTCGAGGAGGAAGGGCTCCCAACAGAGCCCCGGGGTGAGGAAAATGCTTCCCTCACACCATGCCCTGCCCCGGCCTCCCTCCTGCAACGAGGCTCTGTCCCTGTCCCCTTCCTCAGCCACCAAGGGCATCTTCCCTTCCAGCCCCAACTCACCCATGTTCCCAGCAGGTGGCTGCAGCAGGATCTGCCCTGTGGGGGGCGCTGGGAAGTAGCCTTGCGAGGCACCCCCGTTGGGGCCGTAGGGTGGCGGGAAGAAAGCGTCTTCTGGCAGCGGGGGCGTCAGTGAGCTGGCCATGGGGAAGGGGAAGGGAGGCAGGTATGAGAACGGGGGCGGAGGGGCTGGGAAAAGCTGGGCCTGTGGAGCCTGGGGACCCTGGAACAGCCCTGGCTGGCTGCTCAGCTGGTAGTCCTGGTGCTCCAGCTCTTCCAGGTATGAGCAGGCGGAGGGTGGTGTGACACTGTGGGGACAGGGGAGCGTTTTTGTGAGGGTCAGCGTTAGGGAAGGGCCTCCTCATTCCTACCACACAGTAGGTGAGTGCCCGCCCCCCAGGACCCCAGACTTGCCACCTCTTCCCCTTCCTGCTCTATTGCTGAGGGACCTAGACCCGCCCCGCCCAGAATCCACTTTTCCTTTTAACCGTCTTCAAGGTTACTACTCCTTGCTCCTCTCAGCTAACCCTTTGCCCTGCCAAGCTCCCATCTTTGCTGCAAAACCCCTCCAAAATAACTCAAGTGACCATTGGGTTCCATACCTTGGCCCCCAGGACCCACAGGGGCCGTCTCTGTGGCTGCCATCGTTTCCAAGCGCCTCCATCAGCAAAGGCGTCAGTTGGGGTGTGTGGGCAGGGCCGAGGGGAAAGGGGAGGCTGGCCCTTTGAACAGGTGGGGGGCTGAAGAGCGGTGGGGTCACGGCCACCCTCTGAGCACCCTCGCTCTGTGGGCCTGGGGCAGGAGTCTGGTCTGATGTCAGAAGCATGGGGGGCTCTAGGAACAGAAGCCAAAAATGAGTTGTGATGGTAAGAAGATGGGGGGCAGATATGGGGATGCCGGATGTAGACACGTGCAATGCCCAGGTCCCCTGAACACGACCGGACCAGAACGCGAAGAGCTTTGGGCCGCTCCCATGTCTATCAAGAAAGACTCTCTGTCCTCACTGTCTTGCTGTCACCCCCCCAGATAATCCTCGAAGGTGGTCAGCTCACCTGGAAGAGTGTCCAGAGGGGCTTCCTGAGGGAAGGCGCCAGGCTCTGGGTCCCGGGGCACAGGGGGTGGCAGCTCAGCAGCAGAGCTGGAGGCAGAGTTGAAGTGGTACTTTGAGTGGTCCCTGGATGTAGGGGCCTCAGTGCCAGGGAAGGGACACAGTCCCACACTCTGCCTCCCTCCAAGGCACTGGCCACTTCCCCGCCCCAAGAGCCAAAGCCCCTCTATGATCCAGCGCTCCAGCCTCACGCCTAGCTGTTGAGCACTCTCTCCTCCTAGACCCAGGTCCCAGCTGGGACCCCACTTCCCACCTCCCGGATGACCCAGCAAGAGGAGAAACTCACCTGCACTGACCGCTGGCGGCCACCGGGCCTGCGGGGCTCTCCTTCCCCTTCTTCCCGTTCAGCTTCTCCACTTTCCGCCACTTCGCCCTGCGATTCTGGAACCACACCTGTAGGGGAGACGCTTGAAGAGCTTGAGAAAGGGGCAGAGACTAAGACTCGCGTCCCCGACTGTGGCGCAGGGAGCTACCTCCCGCTTTGCAGCAGGTGGGTTTTATAAAAGGGTCACCTAGGTAGCCTCTTCTGGCACCTGAGGCCGTGGAGTGGAGAGAGGCAGGCACCCAGCCCTGATGAGCTCTAACTTCAGCCCCGAGTCAGGAGGTGCTGAGCACTCGCCCGGCTCTCCTGAGGTCCAGCTGGCAGGTTCTGCGCTCCCTGTCCCTGTCCCTGGCCAGCCCCCTTTACCATGATGCGCTGGGGGGTGACCCCCACGGTCTGGGCAATCTCCCGGCGCTTGTCACTGTCAGGGTAGTGGTCTGCTTGGAATATCCTCTCCAGCTCCTCCAGCTGGTCTGCAAGGAGAAACGCACATGCAGACACACGCCGGGGATATGGCAGGAAAGGGCAAAGGTGGCTTCCAGAGGGGACCATGTCCCCAGCCCCAGGGCCTCCCCAGGGCCTCTCAGCTAAGTTTCCCACGGGGCTGGGCCTTCTGTCTCTCTCTGGGCTCTGCGGGTGGGAACGGACCCACAAACCTGTTCCCAATTCCACTATCTGATGAGACAACCCAACCTTCCCCTCTGGGAGGCGTGGCCCTGCCACGGGGTGCGGGAGGGCCCAGGACCCTCCAGGTGACGTGCAAACTAACCACACTCGGGACTCCTGGGGCCACAGTCCCTGTTGAGTGCACCTTTCCCACAGATGACACCAGATCTCAGGGATCCTCTCACCTTCAGGGACTCACCTGAGCGGTACAGGGTTCGAGTCTTTTTCCGAACTTGGCAGGTCACTTCTAGGGGCCTCTTCTGGTCTTTGTTTTGGCTGCTCTGGGCCAATGTGCTGAGAAGGTTGGCCAGATGGCAGGACCCCCGGCCTGACCCACAGGGCACTGGGTTGTGGGTGGCACGGGCCGAGTTATCGGCACAGGGAGGTAACGTTGAGGCTGGACCCACGGCAATCGACTTTTTCTGCTTACCGGAGCCTGGAGAGAGGGGCTTTTTCTCTGCTTTGGCCTCTCTCCTGGGGAGGGGACCACCTCCCTGAGGCTGGGGTCGGGGTGAGACCACGGTTCTGTCTTTGTGGGGAGCCCCTGAGCTGGGTGGCTGGCACCCTCCACCAGCATCAGGGGCCTCCAGTGGCTTCTCCCCAGAGACAGCGCGGGAGAGGGGCGGCTCCCCACTGGCGACATCCTGAGTGTCAGGGGCTGGGCTCTGCGGTGGTCCTTTCTTCTCCGACCCAGCAGCAGGGCCCTTGCATCCACCTTCCTGGCCTGTGGGGAGCCAGCACCCACTGAGCTCAGCACAGGGAGAAGGGAGAGTCTGGACTAAGGGGATTTGCGGCCTCCTGCCCTGTAACTGTTTCCTGCAGCAGCCCAAGCATTACTTGTCCACGTACAGGATGGGGTAGTGATCCCAGAACCTTCCCAACCCGGCTATTCTGAGGATCAACTAGATAAGCCGGCTGCTTTGGAAAATGCTAGCAGGTCTACGCAACTCTAGGGGGCCAGGCTCGTGTACACAGGTGGTAGGAGGGCAACCCTAAGGGGGGCGCTCACTGCCTGGGAGTCCCTGAGTCTCCTGACACCTGGAGTGAGTCTGAAGGACAGGCATCTGCTCAGGCATTTCTAACGGAGGAGGCCGGGGTTGGGGTAGACTGTGGGGAGAGAGAAATTCTGCTTTTTCTAAGATGGGAGTTTGTTCCGCTGCAGACACAGACATTATGGCTTCGAGTAGGGCAGGGTGGCATGGGATGGCCTCCGAAGCCCCGACAAGACATCGCAGGAGCTGATAGGAATGACTCTCCCCGCCTTCCACAGAAGTCACTCTGCCCTGCCAGCCCTCCTCAGGTCCACAGGCCCCTGCTCTTTCCCCGGACAGGACAGCAGAGCCTGGCACAGGGAACTCAGACCCAGGTGCCCGCAGGACACAGGACAGAGGGGTGACGCAGCTGAAACCGAGTCCCCCTCTCTCACCCTCTGAGCTTGTCTGCCTGTCCCTGAGCTACGACTGGTTCACCAGGTGCTCACCACGGTCCAGGCGCTGTGCTAAGCGCCTTTCAAAGGTCAGTACCGCGTGCCTTGAATCCCCGTGAGGAAGGCACTGCCCACATCTCCTAACAGATGCAGAAACGGACCAGAAAGGTGAGTCATTTGCCCAAGATCACAGGGCTTCTAATTCCTGCAGAGTCCCTACCAGGGCCACCTCTGCACATACTCAGAACCCCCCAGTCCCCAGCTCAAGGAGCTGCTCATCCTTCCAAGTAAACTGGAGTGTTTTTAAATGAGTACTAACCAGTGCCTGGGTGCCATTGTTACTTTAGTGGAATTGCATGAGCTACAATGTCTTACGGAAGGACTTCCTCAGCGTGTGTGTAGTGAGATGGACCTCCGTGGGCTCAGGTGCTTTGTCCAGCTGTTTCCTTGCACAGGGGGCCTGACCCACTGGAGAGGCCTGAAGCTGGGGGAGGGAGGTGAACAGACCTCTATCGAGGTGGAGGTGAAGGGCAAGGCTGGGAGGCCCGTGGTTTATGGCATTTTAGGAGAGCTGGTAGCCTAGCAAACCTGGTACATAGAAGGTGCTCTGTAGATGCCACGTATCAGGTAAGAAAGGTGACGGGTGGGAACCTAGACTAGAAGAGCCCTGGGGCTCCGGCCCTGAGTTTTCTCCTGCGCTGTACAGAGGTGGGGACCCGCTGGAGTGGGGGGCCTCTCTCGCACCCCAGCCCAGCCCCTCGGCCCACCCAAGCTCTGGGGCCTCCTAAGGCCCGTGCTGCGGCCCCCGCGCCCCGGCTCACCCCGCGGTTGCTGGCGGGGCTCCTGGGTGGGTTCCATGGCCTGGACTCCGCGGCGAGGCCGGC